CAAGCAGGGATAATCTACCTCTTTTAGTAGTTGTGTTGATTAAATGAAGTAATGTGTAAAATACCTGATTTGAGAGCTTGGCACCATATAAATACTCAGAAAATGTGTATGCCTTATTTAGAGGACTTAGTCATGACCAAAAGGAACAGAATAGACTCTCAGAGATTAGGGTGCAGGAGGCTTACTTGGGAGTGCCTTTGGGATCCATACCTAGGGAATGAGGTGGGAAGGGAGCAGGATTGGGCAAAGTAGTGCTGCAATTTGCAGTCTCAATAAAGGTCTCAGCCAATCCTACAAGGGGTTTTGTAGCTGGGATGACCCTTTAGAATCCTTCCAATTTGGGACGAGGGGGCCAATATAAACTCCACGTCCATCTGTCTTTGGGTATGAGTTGCCCCTGGAAGGAGATGTGACCTTAGTCAAGTTTATTTTCTTTTAGTTAAGGCAATTCCTATAAGAGGTTATAACCAAGGGCCACTTATTGTCAGCATTCCCTGTACCTAGGGAAATAAATCCTTTGTTCCTAAAGGGTTGCCTACATGGCATATCCTGGTGTCTATCACACTGAGTTACCCTGAGTAGGATTCTTGTCAGATTAAGTAGGTGACTTCCCAAGGATAAAGCCAGTCTTGTTTTGACACTTCCCAGTAATTTCTGAGAGCCAACGATTTCACAGTGGTGTGTACTGAGCCATATAATACTCGCTGTGCCCCTCGTCTAAAAGCAACACCCCTGCAAGTGTCCCAGAGGCTTATTTGATTCTTTGCAAAACTTAATTTACATTTCTCTCATTTGCTCATAGAGATTTAGAGGGTGCGAAGAAGGGCAATGGGGAGAGGACATTTATGGGTAATGTGGTATTTTGGCAAGCAGGTCCGTTTTTAACCTGCCTTTTGTATGTTCCTAAGTTTTCCCTACAAGTTATCAGAGAATGTTTTGCAGAGTGTGCGGCCTAGAAGCTCATTCTTAGACCAGCCCCAACCCTTTCAAAAACCACACCTGGGTGTCAGTATCCCTGAAACAGGACTCAACTCTTGGGTACTTCTTGTGCTTCTGTCACTGACCTCATCCTAGACTCAAGATAAGCCAAGAAAAACAAAACAAACACAGGGAGATACTATAAAACTCAGGTAAATAATGCTTTGGAGAGAGGAAAAAAGACATTTACTCCTTTTCCAGTTAACTTTTTCCTGCCCACAAAGAACTTTGTCACCTCTGAGCCACCATAGTGCTTTTGCCAGGGACCACCTTCAATAACTCCCTATGGTTTCTTAAACTTACTTGCATTATTCTATCAAACATGTCTCTGGAATCATTATATAACTTAGTTGTTAATGTTTTGCTTTCCCAACTAGATTGTGAGTACTCTGAGGGCAGGGAACAGGTTTAGACTTGTACCTTTCTTAATAGCTATTTAATAGCTTGGTTTCTGGTTCATCTTAGATACTTAAGAAACATATGTTATTTGAGGGGAATTAATAAGGATGTTTTGTTTTTGTTCTGTTTATCTGACCTGATAAAGGTCTCCTAGCAATGGGTCTTATAATCTACTCCTGGGGTGGTGGGGGAGCAGTAGGGTGCCCTTAAGGATATTCTAAACTTCCTCTATCTTAAGAATCACCCAAAGCACTTATCTAGAGCTCCGCCTTGTCTTACTGAGTCAGAATCACCAGGGGAGGGGCCTGGGAATCTGTATGTTTAACAAGAGCCCCCACCCCCAGAGTTCTCATGTGGGAAACACTGGTAGTGAAAGAGAAAAGCTCTAGGGTTTGAGTCCTGGCTGTCACTTACTAAGGGCCCTTGTACAAATTTCTGGTCCTCAACTACACTAGGTATAGCATTATCTCACAGCACCCTTGTGAGTATTAGTAAAGTAATATGTATGTGAAATCATTAGCATGAATGTTTGGTACTCAAGCACGCTCTGGACTCTTAGTATCATTGATATTCTGGCAAACCAGTTTCAGGAGCTTAAGACATCTCAAGTCAGATGCAAACAAGTTGTTGTGACAGAACAGGTGAGGGCTATGAAGCACTATTTCTCAAAATGTGAGCCTCAGACTACCTGCATCAGCCAGACCTCTCAGCTCAATCCCCAAGAATCCTTACTTTGAGCAGGTTTCCCTGGTTATACTAAAGCACAATAAAGTTTGAGAACCAATACCCTAGTGTCCTTTCTTCTCCTTGGCTTTTACTAAAGAATTGGCCACTCACATGCAAATAGATGGGTGGACAGGCTTTCAAGTTTTCTTAACTAGTTTCATAGCAACTAAATTAAAAATTACTCTATGTTCATTGTCCACCTCTGACTCACTGTTAGGAAAACACATCCTATTTTGAAGCCAACATTTCAAAAGACATTTGAAGTTCTGTTTCAAGGACTAACCATCAGAAGTGCTTGTTATCAATTTGCGCACATGGACATGCGTGTGCACGCAGTTGCGCGTGTGCACACAAATCGACTAGGCAGCATTGCTGACATGCTGTTATGGGAAAATGGAGATAGCTAGTGTTAGCTGAAATGATCATTAATTGGCTTAAATGCTAGAAGCTTAAGATATGAAACATCTACACTGTTTGAACATCTTTTGTACTTCAAGGGATTTTCAAATGCTTTTGTCTGGCTATAACTAGCATTAGCTAAAAGTGCAGCTACAAGGGCACTGGACTAGGAAACAAGGGATGTATTAGTCATTTGTTAAATGAGACGGCAGGACAAGACCAGACTTTCTTAAGCTGGAGCATGTGAGTCATGGATGGCTTCAGGGTCTCTGGACCTGTGAAGCCATCAACCGTATTTTGCATATAGGCAAATCCATTTTTCTGGTGGTAGAGTCTATACCTTTTCTAAGATTCTCAAAAGGTCCAGAACCACCAAATGGTTTCAAAATACAGACCGGATTATTTTAAAGCCTTTTTTCCAGCTCAAAGATCCTAAAGAAAACCAATGTCCTAGTTCCTCATGGGGTCTAATCGAGATGGGTCATTGACTTCATAAGGTTTTTCAAAGCCATGATCAAGTGTTCCCTCTACACCACCCTCTCCTTCCCCAACAAAATACGCCCAAATTGCGCAACATTTTTCACTTTGTACAAACAAGACTATTTTTCCCTCAGACAGTAAGATTTCACTTGTTTTAATGTTGTTTGCTATAAAAATGTATGGAGACTTCTGCACGGTGTATTTGGCTTTACAAATGTTAATGACTCATTAATGCCTGTGTTATATCATTGCACATGATTACAATCTGTTGACCAGTAACATAGCTTTTCCAACATGGGTTAATACCAAAATTGTGAATCATGGATATTTTTACTTAGCACACACACACAATCTACAGCAAACTTAAATCCTAATCTATAATATCTATTAATAACTGGATTATTGGATCCATTGCAGGATTGTGCTTATTTACCTCAGAAGATAGGCAACTAGTAAAAATACACATTTCTTTTACATATCCCCACCCCCATATTACACTGTAAAAGAAATACGTTATTCAGTGCATTTCCTAAGAAATAAACTTCCTTATAGTATCTCTCTTTCTATATATATATCTATCCCAAAACAAAGGAAGAGCACAATGCACCTTTTAAGATTACCATTTAAAGCAAGAGAGATAATAACACTCTGGCACTATAGCCCCCTGTCCTGAAAAGTTAGCTATTTTATCAACACTGTTCATTTTGGCTATGCACGGGAATAAAGTTCAATGCATGATTGCTTTGGGCAGTTTAAAATACCTCCTACATCATTTTGGTAGATGTCCTGGGCATTAGTAGCATTTTAATTTTTGATGTATTTGCCTTGATCAAACCATGAGCTGTGGGCGTCACCAGTATACTCCACTGTGATTTATACCTCCCCTTTCCCCATCAACTCATATTGGATTAAAAGGAAATAGACTTAAATTAGAGCAGGAGGTCAGAGACTGCTGGATAGATGCTGGCTAGGAGAATGTATTTGAAGACACCTCTTCTTCCTTGTGGACATAAAAATCATACACTGAGCTATGCTGTGGACAGTCTTGTTTGGAAGAGGATAGTCATTATATTCTATGGACTCTGTCAGCTATAGTAGCCTACATAGTTGGAAAATCTGGAGGTGTCTGTCCAAACTTGCTATTATAGAAATGACAAATTTCTAGAATGAAAGAGGTCCAACTTAGGAGCTTGCAAGGTAAATCCAGCTGCAAAAGTGTTTGTTAATCAGCAGTGTTCAAACATTTTAAAAATCAGTTCTTGATATCTAAAAATGAAAATTTGGATTTCATAAAAATTTGAAGAGCTGGTAACCTTGGTCTAGTATCATTGCACTGCAGCAAACAGCTGGTGTTGAACGGGGTGCCCCTTTTATTTATTACTTTTTAGAGACAGGGTCTTACTGTCACCCAGGCTGAAGTGCAGTGGTGTCATCATATTATAGCTTATTGCAGCCTTGAACTCCTGGGCTCAAGTGATCTTCTCACTTTAGTCTCCCAAGTAGCTAGGGACTACAGGTGTATGCCACTACACCTGCATCATTTTTATATTTTTTGTAGAGATGGGGTCTTGTTATGTTGCCCAGGCTGGTCTTAAACTCCTGGGCTCAAGCAGTTCTCCCACCTCAGCCTTCCAAAGTGCTAGGATTACAGGGGTGAACCACCACACTCAGTGAGGTGCCCTTTTAAATGGGGCTTGGGAACTTCAGTTTGCCACTACTCCCACCTGTTTTATACCACTTGAGTGGCCTGTTTCACTCATTTTTATAACTCACTCAAATTGAATTTTGTGACATGGGGTTAGTGTCTCTGTCCTTTTATGATGCTGAAGACCTTGCAATTTCCTCACTTCCCTGTGAACAAGATTCCTCCTTTGATTGGGTCCCAGCCACATTTAGTTGTTTTTGGTAGGTTATCTTATTTGTTTTTTTCTTTTTTTTTTATTAGTAGGTAATCTTAATGTGCAATTCTACTTGTCCTTTATGCTATATTGCAAACATCAAAGATATCATTACACTAATATTTATGTAAGTGTGTGTATATTAAACATGTAAAGGGGTATGTATCTATACAGATATATGTATACTTCCATTTAGGCAAGAGTTAATTTGGTTCCACAGATACAGACACTAAGTGCTGGCAGCTTGGAGAATAAATGTAACAATTTGGTAAAACGTGTATAATTCTGACTTATAATATTACAAAGAGAGTGAATTTTAAGTTATTGCTTTTTGATTACAGAGTAAAGATTTCATTCTGTTGCAAAACTTTTATACAGAATGAATAACCATTTCCTATTCAAGTAATAGCAATCAGAATCAGAAGTTCCTTACACGACAGTAGATGCTTGAAAGACACTTTTTAAATGGAGATGTGATTTCATTCTATTCAAGATTTTATGCAGGAAATTTGGAGTGACTTAATTTTTCAAAAGTACAAGAAAATCAGCACCCCAACTGCTTAGTGCTCAGGAGGGTTTCTCAAGCGCTCTATAAAGCTCAGCTTTGTGGTGAGTTCACACCCACCCTTAGAAGGATTCCCATTCTACTTATGCAGCCTTGTTTCAGAACACAAAGCTTGCATTAAAAACAGTAAAAGAGGATTAAAAGCAGTGTTGGTTTTTTAACATTCAGAATTCACAGAGGATCTCATTTTGCAATTAAATGATCCATTTTGTGTTTTCGCTGCAGAATCACATTCATATGGCAGTCATATATCAGGCACTTTTAAAACATATTCATCTGGAATAAAAATCTGCATGAACCACTTCTGCATAATTCAAAATGAGTGTTGAGTGATTCTAGTCCCAAAATAGACAGCAAATCACCACCTGGTACTCAATTAGCTTTCTCTATCACAACATGACGGTGACTGCTGAGCTCGAGATGTCTTTGAGGTGCCCTTTTATTATAGCTTCAGTACAAAGATGTGAGCCATAAAAATCCAAACTACTCAGTTCCTACTTAAAAAAATACAAAAAGGTGAAATACGCTAAATGTATTATACAGATGGGTTCAGCTACTATCAAAATAAATAACATAATCTGACTCAACAGTCTGACTCTGAGCTTTTGGACGAAATTTGATGGAATGTCAAATGTGAAGACTCCCTCCTAGGGACTAGCTGCTGGTAGGCAAAAGTATCTCAACATCCTTGCCATTGGCTACGACAGCATTGGAAGAGCAGCTGCTGGCAAGGTCTTCTGTGGTGGTCAAAGAGGATGCTTGGGAATGAATTTTGGTCAGCGGAGTGGTAGCAGATGGAGAGGGGGTGAGGCCAGGTTTCTTGGGTGGGATAGGTGGAGGGTTTCCTCTCTCAGCTCTTGGGATGGTAGGGGACTTGATTCCTGGAGACAGGGGACTCAGAGGACTGGACACTTTCCCTGGAGTAGGTGAATGGCTGGTGTCACTTCTTGGATTGGCAGTGTTGGCCAGATTTCGATAGTCTGTGCCAAAGGGAGAGCTGTTGGGAGAGACTGGCTTGATTGATCCTTGTTGGCTAGTGAATCTGGAGAGCACCTGAGTGACTGTGTTTCGGGCCAGCTGCTTGGCAGCAGAATTGTCTATGAGGGTGGGGGACAGGTCCCTGGATGGAGGACTCTGTAGACCACTGGCTTGCTGGTCCTGATCTGCTTGGGACTGAAATTTGTGCCGAGCTGCATGGAACCGCTGGTTGATACCCACTTGGTAGGATGACTGGTAGCTGGGACTGCTAGCCGATGACCCCAATAAACGCTTAGTTAATACTGGTGAAGAGCAAGGAGAAGATGTTAGAGAGGAGGAGGCTGTGCTGCTGGGAGACAGTGAGCTCCCACTGGAAGGGAGGTGACTGGGCATTGGGACTGTAGTCTCAATTCCCACAGGACACCCACCATTCTCCACTGGTTTCTCTTGGACCAATGCCACAGATTTTTCCCGTGGAGGCACTTGGTTTTCTACACTGTTGCCTACAATCAGCTCCCTGGTAGTTTGTATCTCTGGTTCACAATGGCCATTGGTTTTTGCATAAGAGGAAGTAGGAGTGGTGGGGCCAGGCAGCCCGGTGTTTGTCATTTTAGCTATGTTGCTCCCGTGGGTTCTTTCTGCCTGAAAACTCTCTGTTTGGCAAAATACAGACACTAGCATGAGAGGTTCAGTTGCTGTGCCTTTGGACATGGTTACTGTTTTCTTTAGTTGTTCATCAGGACTACTGTGTTGATGAGAAGCCTCTAGGTCCTTCACTATCTTTTTCAAACTTTCCATTTCTTCTTTCAGAGTTTTGGTCCGGTTCTCTTCTCGGTTCAGTTTTGCTCTCAGTTGTTCCCTTTCAATGTCAAACTCAGACAACTGCTTCTCCACCTGGGCCTCAGTCTGCAAGCTTCGCTTTCTCTCAGCGGCCAACTCTTCTTCCAGTTTACTCACCCGGCTCCTCTCCTTCTCCAATTTCAGGCTCAGTTCTCCTGCTTTTTGTCCCTCCTCAGCTGCCTTGCTAGTGGCTTTCTTGCACTCAAGCACCAGCATGGATGAGAGTTGCTTGTGGCGGGAGCGCTCCTCTTCCAGCTGACTAGAGAGCTTCTTCTGTTCTTTTTCAAACTTTTTCACTTGGGACTTTTCAAATTCCAACTAAAAAAAAAAAAATGCCACCACACATCTTGATTAGAATAAGAAAACAAGCAGATATATTGAAAAACAATAATCAAGTAAAGTGTCCTGCTTAGCTGTTCCCTGGTATATAGGATTAACATGTATGCCATGGTGTTTAGCTCAAGTATTTCTGAAGTATTAGAATACCTACCACCAAAAATGCACACATTATGATTTAATCTTTCTTTGATGATTTAGGAAACATTTCTAGCTCTTGTACTGTCTCAGGATTATCAGTGGGAATATAATATATCATTGTATTTTAGGTATGTGGAGAGTATACAGCACTAGAATCAATCAAAACAGATAACAGAAAGCAATATACACAAGATTTTGTGATAAATGCTCTGCAAAAAAAAAAAACCTTTTGCAGTTTCAGTAATAATTTTCTGAAATTTTCTGGTTTTAAAAACAAACATAGTTGCATCTGAATCATATTTTTTACACAAATGTAGTCTGTTCTACTCGTCTTCTTAACCCTATTTAAGGCATAGAGACTTTGAGCTAGAGGGAAAGAACTGAAGGAACTCTTTTAGTCAGTGGTTTCCAAACACCAAGAACCATTAATAGATGGGGAAACCAACTTGGTGAGCCATGACCAGAATTAATAAAAAAATAAAATAGAAAACATCAATGTGTACTTTAGGCAGTAAGGGTTATGTATCATTTCATGAGATTTTGTTTCAGGCACGTGTGCATGTGTCTACATATACTGGACTATGGTATAAAATGCATTTCTTACTGGGGGTCCTAAGTCAAAAAGTTCAAGAGCTACAGCTCTAAGTTAGCATTCCCCAAAGTGTATTCTATGGAGCAATAGTCCTAGAATGAGTGATCTGTGTCAAAAAAAGATTCTATGACAACACAGATTTGCTAAACACAAAATACCCTATCTTGAAGACTCACAATATATTTTTGCATACTGAAGATTCTAACCGATTTAAAGTTAGAAACCTGTTTAATTTTGTTTAAACTGGATTAAATTATTTAATCCGGTAGTTCCCAGTCTTATTTAGCCATAAAGTCCTTTTTTTTTTTGAGCAACACCAATTAGCATCTGCAGAATAATCTTTGAGAAATGCTATTCTAGGTAAATGCTGCTGTGAATCCCTCCACCTTGATTACCTGTTGAGTCAGCCTCTCTCTTTCTTTCTCTAGCATGTAGGTGACATCATCTCCTTCAGCTGTATCCTGTGCATGCCTTTGCCTTTCTTCCTCAAGGTCTAGGATCACCTTTAAAGAATTTTTAAAAGTTCATTTTCAATATCAAGGAATCATAATATAGCCAATACTATGTGCCTAAGTACCTAGGATAGTTTAGGGATTGAATAAATCAGTCAATCAATCAATCAAACAAACAAACAAACCCAGCCATGGCCATCAAGGAGCACACTGTCTGGTAAAGTGAAAGACATGAAAGCTATGTGCTAGAAAATTAGATATTTACTTTACTTGAAGTATGTACAGAATGGTATGTAAACAGAAGAGAGTAATTAGCTGCAGGAGTTGAGGAGTTTTCAGAGAATGAATAAAAAGTCCAGGAAACTGGAGGCAGTTTGGTATGACTAGGGGCCAGTGTAGGTGAAGGAACAAGACAGGATCACAGAAAGCTGAAAGCTGAGGTTCTCCTCTCAATGCTCAAATCACTACAGGAAGGCACCAAAGGGGAATCAAAAGCCTGGAATCAAACATTTCAGATAGGTCACATCCTAACTGTGCTGCATTTAATTAAGATATGCATTTTATATAGGTAGGTAAGAGGCCAAAAGACTCTCTTGACTTCATCCTACATGTAAGAAGCCTCAATAATAGATCGTAAATGAATATTTTTCATAAGGCCTCCCCCCTTTTTTAAAGGGATGGGGTCTCCTCTGTGGCCCAGGCTGCAGTGGTACAATCATAGCTCATTGTAGCCTTGAACTCCTAGACTCAAGTGATCCTCTTGCCTCAGCCTCCTGAGTAGCTGGGATTACAGGAGTGACACCTGGCTCATAGGCCTTTTTCCCTTTTTTTTTGAGATAGAATCTTGCTCTGTTGTCCTGCAAACTCCTGGGCTCAACTGACCTCCTGCCTCAGCATCCGGAGGAGCTGTGACTACAGGCACACACCAGCATGCCTGGGTGTTTTTTATGTTATTTGCAGAAATGGAGACTCACTATGTTGCTCAGATTGGTCTCAAATTTCTGGCCTCAAACAATCCTCCCACCTTGGCCTCCCAAAGTGCTGACATTACAGGCGTGAATGAGCCATTGTGCCTAGCTCACAAGGCCTTTTAATTAACCTGCCTACCTCTATTTCACTTATCCTGGTGCCAAAGTATTAAGCCCAATTTTAAAGAGAATACAAATTTAATGAAACATTTTCTACATAATTCTGCCTAGAACTGCAAAACATTCTGAATGGCAATGGAATCCTTAGTAGCTTCTGCTCATGCTTTAAAGGTGCCCTGGCCCAGACCTCCAGGGCAGAGCATTGTCATCTCAATGGCCATTTCTCATTATTTCGCCTCACTGACAATTTTAATGAATGGAGACAGAAAATTTTCTGGGACATGAAATACTCCTTTAAAAGTAAAAATTAGCCATATGCAGTGGTGCACCTATATTTCTAGCCACCTTGGGAGGCCTCTGAGGCAGGAGGATAGCTTAAGCCCAGGAGTTACAGATTACAGTGACCTGTGATCTTGCCATTGTACTCCAGCCTGGGCCACAGAGTAAAATTCTGTCTCTAAAACAAAACAAAACAAAAAAACGACCCAAGAAAATGGTTTGGTAGACTTCTGGTTTCAAAAAAAATCTAATTTTTCAATGTAATAGAAAGACAGGCTTTTGGCTAAAGGCAATAAGTCATCTCCTCTCTGTTTTAGGAGCCCTCTAAAATAAAAAAAAATAAAAAAATGGAATGAAAAGACTAAAAACCCACCAAGAGAGAGACTTTAGCAGATAAGAAATTTTAATAACACTTTGAAAAAGGAACGAGGCCAGAGGAGTGGTAACTCCTTTAGTATGAGGGAAGAAGCTGTTTTGCCCTGCAGGGCCACAAACAGATGGAACCTGCAAGTGGCAGGTATTGTAGACAAGAAGTTAAATGTAGGATAGAAAACAGGAGGTTTGGCTCAAAGTCTCTATTTTCAGAAGAATTATTTGTCTCCTCACCCTGATTACTCCACATAGAATATTTGCAGCCAGGCATCTACTGCCCAGGCATATGCCAGATTCTCATCCTCTGAAGAAATAGAATGTGACAGGCTCAGGATTTGGGAAAACCAGATATAATAGAGAAGGGGGGTGAGAAAAGAGGACTGTAATTTGTTTTGGGAAGATGGTAAGAGGTAAGGAGAGGAAAAGGAGGTAGAGTATAAGATAATTAAATTTGTACCCATCAAAATAATATAAACATCTAAAATTGATAAAGGAAGAGAGAGCAATCAATATATTATTTAGAAATATGGAGGTTATCTACCAAAATAAATGGCTAAAAGATAAAAGTGGTTGCCTCTGAATATTGGGGAAAATGGGGAATGGGAAGAGGTAGATTAGAGAACTCTATTTTTCATTATAAGCAGAGTAACCATGTAATTTACTGTTTAAACCAGAACATTTCTGAGAGTCAAAGGGGGTATTGTTAATAACTATGCCAGTGTGATAGGCATAAACTGGGACTATGACCACCCTAATTATAAGCTTCTTGGTACTGTCTGATTTCTAACAAAGTCGGCATTCCACTTTGACAAACCACTTAGAATAGATAAGCACTGAGTTTCAAAAATTTAATACTCACTTAAAACATTTTACATTGAAATGCAGTATTAAGACATTTTGAATTATTTTTAACTTATTCCTCTCTCAATCATGTAGAGCCACAAATTGTCCCAACACTGCACTTTTCATGAGCATGAAAGCTAGCCAGCCCCTTCAACACAACTCAGTTACCTCATGTATGAAGTAATTAAGGAAATAAAGGAAGGAAATAAAGCCTGCCTATCAAATAAAGATATTGTGAAGATTTTATTAGCCCCTCCCCCAAATTTAGGCAACCAACTCCAACCCATTGACACCTTTTATTTTATTTTATTTTTTTGTGGTAGGGTATTGCTCTGTCTCATGGACAAGAGTGTAGTGGTGTCATCACAGCTCACTGCAACCTCAAACTCCTAGGCTCTAGCAATCCTCCTGCCATAGCTTCCTGAATAGTTGGGGCTATGGGTGCACACCACCACACTCAGCTAATTTTTCTATTTTTTGTAGAGATGGAGTCTTGCGCTTGCTCAGGCTGGTCTTGAATACCTGGCCTCAAGCAATCCTCCCACCTCAGCCTCCCAAAGTGCTAGGATTCCAGGCATGACACCAGGTCAGGCCCATTGACACCTTTTAAATTGGAGCATAAATGTTTTTAGATTACTTTATTCTAGACCAGAGGTTAAACTTTCCTGGGTCTTGGGAAACTCTGAGAATTTGATTAAATCTATGGAAAAATGCAATTTCTACAAAAATGCATAAACTTTTGTCATTCTATATATTTTCTGGAGGGTCATGGAAGATCTGAGGCCCATTCATGGTTAGGATGCTCCAATCTGGCCTTTCATTTGAACCCTGTGAAGGGAAAGAAAAGATCATAGACAAGACCCAGAGCCTAGGCAATTTATCAGATGCGATTTAAGCAGATGGCTCTAATGCTGGTAACCATTAAAGTAAGGTCCACCAAATTTTGCAGCTGCTAACCCAATTTTTCAAAATATTTCCTACCAAATGTACTGTATCTCCCTTGTGGGTATAAATTTAAACTGATAGTTTTTAAAAACATAGATTCTAGCCAAGCATCTTTTATAGGCCGAATTTGAGCAGTAAATGACAATGAGGAATAAGTTCATAAGCACTAGAATTCCAGTAAGATGAGGTATAGGAAAGCACAGGTTTACCTTCCTAACTTAGGAGCTGTCAGATATGGAACCAAACACACACACACACACACACTCACTCTCTCTCTCTCTCTCTCTCCTAATAGGGTAGAACAGCTTTAAGGTAAACAACCTTAGGGATTGTTTATGGTTTCATGAATAATAAAATGCAATGAAACTCAAAACTACGAATAAATGAAAATAATATATTGGCTTGTATGTTTATAGTCAGGTAAATTCTCTCTCTGTGGGATACAACATTCCCCAAATACCTGTTAATCTTTCTATTTATCACTTAAGTAAGCAAATAGAGAACACTCTGTTCAGCTACAAGCTTGGCCAGACCCCAGTTTGTTGCCAAAGTTTGGATGATCAAGAGCTGAAAAAACATACCAAGTGTTTTGGAGTGACATATCAAAAAGGAATGCCATCTTGAAGTGTCTGGCACATTCCCTAAATTTAATATTTGGAATAACCTGTGTTTTCTTTTCTATCTCCTGGCTCCTATGTTAGCTAAGGGGCTTTTTGACACCCATGAGACACTCCAATTGAATTGCTGTGAAAGCTGGCAGCTGACATGAAAGTATCAGGCATTATTTATAAAGTTTTTATAAGGATTTATGCAGCACACATCAACTGGGGTGAACCTACCTTTCGGTGCCTGCTCTCAGCAGCGGCCAGCTGAGACAGCATGCGCTCCTGCATGTTCTTACATTGCTTCATCACCACCTTAAGAATAGAGAGTGGGTTTGTGCAGACTGGCTGCTTTTCGCCATCATTTTTCTCCTTCAGTGTTTCAAAATCTCTCTGCAGAGCCATTAAAGGATCACTGATGTTATATTTTCCATAGCGCTCTTCAATGAAAGTATCTCTGTGTTGGGCCTGGGAACAAGAAAAAAATAAGTATTTGTTTTTAAAAACTACTGAGGAGTTGGATTTGTTATCTAGTAGTTAAAATACATTAAAGGTGGTGGTGTTATAATAGTATAAATGTAAACTGACTATAAATCTGATTGAGCCAACTAAACATAAAAATAACATACAAATAACATCAGAAAGGTGGCATGGTATGATATTAACATGAACAAATCTATACAAATACTTGTATAGAACTATGTGTTAGACATTATTCTAAGCATTTATAGTCATATTAACTTATTTAAAATGTACAACTCTATCATCTCCATTTTGCAGATGAGAAAACTATTACAGAGAAGCCAAGTAACTTGTTCCTGGTTACTTACATATAGCAAGCTGTCAGAATTGGGATTTAAACCCAGGCAGCCTGGCTCCAAAGTCTGTGTCCTTAACCACCATGTTTACCGCCTCTGCTTATGTCTGCTTATGAATGTTCATATTACCGGCAAGTATATCTTATCTTTCTTTTCTGTATTATAGCATTTGCATTTCTAAAATGTGTTAAGCATGACAACTTTAAGAGTTTAATATTTAGAGACCCAACAAAGTGCAAGCAGATACGTAAAGGATACTAAAAGTGTGATCACATTTTAACCCAGGACTACTTGTGATCTGTACATATGAAACTTTACTCAGTTGTTGATGGGTCAAGAAGGTAGAGGCATTCACAACCAGAGGTGCAGACAAAATGCCTTCTACCTGCTGCCATATTCTACCCCCTTCTTCTCTCCGTTTAGCTGTTCCTTTCCATCCTCCTTTCTGTTTCCTTCAGAGCTGATGAGCTTTGGGGAAGAGAGAAGGTGAAAAGGGGATGTGGGCTGATACTTGGAGACTGGTCTAGGGTTTTAGGTCTGGGTGCTAAGTCAAGGGTCTAAAGATTAGGAGGTAGGTGGAAAGATTCCTAGGCTTCCCTCTTTTCTTATCTCTGCTAGGAAGAGCTTGAAGTACTAGTTCATATGAGCATCGTATATTACATACATGTTGATATTAATAACATTAATTATTACTTCATTACACAGACCTTAAAAAGTTTGAGAAATTTTATAATAAAAAAAGAAGTATTAAGACAGGGTTGAGGAAACCTCAAAAATCACAGGGAAGTATTTATTATCTATATAATTTAAGCTTTCAATTGAAATATAGTTATGAAAACTACTAGCATTTATGCACTTTTAAAAACTACTTTATCAGTAGTTATGTTTTCTTAGAACTGCCATCCACAAACAGGAACCCATTTGAAAAGAAAAGGAAATTCACAATTCAATGGCTATCCTTTAATTTAAAAGAATTCTCAAGAAAATAAAGCAAACATGGGGTTTCTTTAACACAGAAGTATGAAAATCTTATTCTTTCTTCTTCACTGACTGTCCATGTTTAAACCTAGGAATTACTTAGCCATGCTACAATTTCATGTTGGTATCAGTCGGCAAATGTTCAAAGCAGAGTTAGAAGCCGTGGGTTTTACTTTTGGCTTGACTACAACTATCTTAAGGTATGACGTTATGGGAGTATTTGGATGATATTTGTATATTGGCAACATGAAGAGGGAAATCCATTTGTTTAAGTTACTAACAACCATCTTTATAACATCATTACGTGTGTATATGAGAAAATTAAAGTGGGGAGGGGGTGGTTGAAAGACAGAGTCCAAGATCAAATTCTACTTTTTTCAGCTCCAAATTAAAAAAGTAATTCTTGGTAAAATTTCAAATTAACCTCTAGTCCATTCAGGATGGAGAAAGAAATGATCAATTCCTGAATCAGCTATTTTTATTGTTATTTGAAATCATGGTGACAGTAAAACAAAAAAGCTAACTACATTAAAAAGCAATGGTGTCAAACAACAATGGACTCATCAATGGTTTCCTTTTACTGAGAACATCTGTTTCTTTAAATTCAGGCCTCTTTAAATAAAGGCCCCAGCTTGGTGGCTCACACCTATAATCCTAGTAATCTGGGAGGCCAAGGCGGGAAGTTCACTTGAGGGGCAGGAGTTTGACACCAGCCTGAGCAATAGTGAGACCCTGTCTCTACTAAAAATAGAAAAAAAATAGCCAGCCAACTAAAAATAGAAACAAAAAATTAGCCGGGCATAGTGGCAAGCGCCTGTAGTCCCAGCCTCCCAGGAGGCTGAGGCAGGAGGATCGCCTGAGCCTAAGCGTTTGAAGGTGCTGTGAGGTAGGCTGATGCGACTGCACTGTAGCCTGGGCAACACAGTGAGACTCTGTCTCCAAAAAAAAAAAAAAAAAAAGGATAAATTCACCTATAAAAATATGAAATTGATAACCTAGAATTCATGAAAGCATCTATTTGTAGCTACTGATGTCCTAAGGCATTTTTAGGCCATGTTTAGAAAAAACACTTATACAGAGGAAACAAAAGTTTCTTTAAGCAGTTGAAATACTACTTTTCTAGCTATCATATTTCTTATTCATTATAACCATTTCTGTATGGTTAGTGATGATAAAGAAATGATTATTAGTACTGAAATTGGTTTAGGGGGCATAAAGAAAACCGAAAAAGGAAACCTGAATATTTTTATGATCTTTCCCTTTTTAGAGTACTATGGAGAAAAGGGGATGGAAGAGTAGGAGCTGGGACTACAATTCATGACCTTGACGTCAGATCTGCTGAGAAGCTGTCTCTCAGGTTTGAGTACTATATAGTTAACTAATCTTAAAAATATAACTTTTTAAAACCCACACTGTGATTACCCTGTATAATTAATAAGCATCACAGATTTATGAGTAATAGACAAGGAGTTTCTTTGGTGAGGTCTCAGCCTGAGAACAGTTGTTAGGCCGTCTGTTTTCTCTTGAAGTACTTCATAGTAATTCCATAATCGCTTGCATAGTAATTACAAGTTATATAAAATAGATGGCATTGCCTGTAAAGGAAAAGGATCTGTGGGATAATCTAAAAAAGGCTCCTTGTCAGACAGCAATTCTTTTAAGCACATTCTAATAAGAAGCCAAATATAGGAAAGGTGAATTTACTATAGCAAACACTGGACTGGAAAATGGGAGATGAAATATGGTATTTTTCAACTCACCTAATGATTCAGTCTGGTGAACTATATGAATGACAGGCTTATCAGTGTGCAATTAATAGCAGTAATAAAAAACAGACTTGAAGAATGAAAAGAAGAGCTTTCATGGAGGTGCATAATAGTTATCTATTCTGACGTAACAAATCACCCCAAAATTTAGCAGCTTAAATAATAGACATTTTAAAAAATCTTATATAGTTGCTGAGGCTCAGGAATCTGGGAGGGGCTTAGCTGGGTGGCTCTGGCTCACAGTGTCAGGAAATCGCAGACAAGCTGTTGTCCAGGGCTGTAGTAATCCAATGGCATGACTGGTGCTGGTGGATCCCTTTCCAAGCTTACCTATGTAGGTGTTGGCATAGGCTTGGTCTCTTGCAAGTGGCAGCTTCTCAAAGAGCAAGAGACCCCAGAGATAAGGAGGCCAAGATAGAAGTCCCAATGACTTTTAAAACCTAATCTTGGTAGTAGACAGGCACAGTGGCTGGTGCCTATAATCCCAGCTACTTGGGAGGCTGAGGTAGGAGGATCAATTGAGGCCAGGAGTTCAAGACCAGCCTGGGCAACATAGCAAGACCTCGTTTCTTACACACACAAAAAAACCCAACCTAGAAAACCTCTAATCTTGGAAGTAACATACCATTACTTCTGATATATTCTATTAGTCACACAGACCAACCCTAATAAATTTGGAAGGGGACTGCTCAAAGGTGTGAATATCAGAGGTAGGGATCATTGGGGACCATCTTGGAGGCCGACTATCACAAGATGAATGACTAGAGATGCTATCACCATCATTTATATCTGAAGTCCAAATTTAAAGACCAAGCACCTATACTTAAAATTGTTAAGGCTGAGTTTTAACTTTAATGATATTTTTAGCTATTGTATAAGAACATTTAAATCATCTTAAATTTGAGTTGGGGGGAAGTTTAGTGATAAAGCTACAGTCAATTTACTGAAATTTCATTATTTTTACTTCAATGACAGTGTATACTTTAACTGAACAAAATCCCTATATTGTCAGAAAACATGATAGTCTTTAATTTCAGACAACAGGAAAATAATTGGCTAGTTAGACAAATTAAATGATAGAGGGTATTATCATAGCAGACAAACACACTAGCCATCTAGTACTCATTTATTTCTACTGTCACCAGCTGAATCAAACACACCACTACCGAAAGTTTAAAATCATATAATACCCTTGGAGTCTGGCTACTTGCTCTCCAAAAGTTTCAGCTGTGTTATTCTCAAAAAAGAAATATGAACTAGTCAGCTCCTCCCGACTTCCCAATGTTTGTGTGTGTGTATCTGTGTGTATATTCCAATCTTAAAGTAGGAAATCAGTCTCTCTTTATTCTTTGGATGATCATTACCACCACCATGAAAAGTGGTTCCAAATCTAAAAGTAAAGAATTAAGGCCCATTTAATTGGGGGTTTATAGTCAACGACAAGTTTTTATTTCAAGACTCAGGCTGGCACCATAACTGGATCAGGATGTATTTTTGCTATCTATGAGGCAACTCTGAAGTAATACTTTTTTTTTTTTTGAGACAAGGTCTTGCTTTGTTGCTGGGGCTAGAGTGCTGTGGCATCACAGCTCACTGCAACCTCAAACTCCTGGGCTGAAGTGATTCTCCTACCTCAGCTTCTTGAATAGCTGGGACTACAGGTACATGCCCCGATGCCCAGCTAAGTTTTTTAAAATTTCTTTGTTGAGATAGGTCTTGCTATTGCCCAGGCTGGTCTCAAACTCCTGGCCTCAAACAATCCTCCTGCCTCAGCCTCCCAAAGTGCTACTCAGGATTACAGGCATAAGCCACCACACACAGTGTGAAGTGATACTTTTTGAAGTCATGAGCAATAAGGCCGGGCGCGGTGGCTCACGCCTGTAATCCTAACACTATGGGAGGCCCG